ACACTAAGCTCTTGAGGCTAGAGTATACTTTTATTTATATGTATGAATTATTTTAACTATGTTACTTACATTTGGTAAAAAACTATCGCGAAATACAGAGACGTGACGGGCGTACCGCGGGGGCACGGCCCCACCTGGCCCTATGTTTATTTATAAATAAATATAAACGGCCGGAAGTAATACACATACTACATCCGGTGTCGGGATACCAGATGGCGCGCGCGAGTGCTTAATTTCAAATCCTAAAAACGTCAAGTATATTTTTTAACACATGCTCCGTTTATATTTTGGGGTTAGTTGAATGTTCGTTTGAATAACTTATTTATTTATCAAAGAAGGATTACAATTAAAGCACAGCAAATGATTTTTCATTTCATAATGTGTAATTGTTATAATTGTATCGTATTATGTATATCCATATCATTAAAAATAAAGGCTTCAATAAAGCCTTTTATCTCGCAGCTCCCGCCGCTGGTATAGTTAATTTTTCGAACGACTTAACTGATTATTATGTGGCTATGTATGTGCGGTGTAAGTATTTAAATCATATACTTTATGAATAAATAATTGTGATTCAGTAATGTAAGAATATAAGCAAAAATGACGAACATTAAGCAGCTATAAGCTGATTTATCAAAACCACAACTTTAACGAAAATTCCAAACTAACGAACAGTTCTAAAAGAAAGTTTTTATAATAATTGGATATCACAAAGGCCAGGTGCTATTTCTAATGATTGTTGGATCCTTCACAAAAAAGTCTTTAAGGCTTCGGGCGCACGGGTCAGTTTGGAAGGCAGCGCGTGGTTAATAGATTAGGTTTTTTTGAACCACCATTTGTTGTATCCCATCTGCTCCACCTCGTGGCATAGAAGCATTCATTCACCGCACTTCTTTTGATTTCAATAATACAAGCGCGTGGCCTGGCGTGGCCGGCAAAAGATAAATATGTACCTACTTTACCACGTATTTAAAAAATAAACATTCGTTTTTAATTTTTTTGTATAACCAATCTTACTACTTATTAAACAATGCTAAAGAACTTGCTTTTAGCTCACGCCAACAAGTTACTAGAGCTATCCGAGACAGAGTTGGCAAGATTTAATTGTCGTTAAACAAACGAACGGCTTTGAGATCTTGTCTCACTGTAGTCTCTATCATAATGGTTATATAATAGAGTTAAAATTTCAAATAATATTTTGATGACTGATTTTTGATTATCTACGCGTTTAAAAAAATTTACTCACACGCAGCAATTTAACATTAAAATGATAATAGAATAAAAGGTTGTGCTTTTTTTATTAACATTTCTATAAATAATAGGATTAATTAACTTTAAATCTGGTAGTATGTAAAATATTAACCTAATTAGATAAGACTTATTGGTCCTAACATTCGTTCTCTTAATAGTTTATATTGAATACTAGTGTCCCGCCCTCGCTTCGCTTCGGTGTAGAGCTGTAGTGTAGAATTCCAATTTTTCTCACCTTATAAACCCTCCTTAGACCTCCACGAACATTTCAAAACCAAGATAAGATAAATCCGGTCAGCCGTTCTCGAGTTTTAGCGAGACTAATGAACAACAATTGATTTTTATATATATAGATAGATAAAACGAGATTTGAAATAAGTGTATATTCATTTTATTTTTGTTAACAATTTTATTTTGATCCCTTATCTGAAACTAGTTGTAAAACAAATCACCTGCCGAATATTAACAGGTAATCATAACATTTTCAATGTTTAAGTTTAACTTTGAGTAATTTTAACCGTTAGTGTTCTTGATGTCCGGCCTCTACAAAAGTAGCTATTGAATAGCCAGTAAATATCCGTTAATGCATAATGATTTTATTACCAAAGGTAATATTATTATAAGTTCGTTATTCCTCGGTATAGTATTTTAATTCCGTATTCATGTGTATATATAGTTTATTAATGAGAGACTTGATAGAATAGAGGCAAATTGCGCTCGGTATAAAATTTCGAATGTTATGGAACTTTCCCAGTGCCAGATCCAATCCTAATTGGATATGAAAGCTAACGGTGGTGGCTAAATGGTGGTTCTGTGATAAGCAAACCCAATGTGCAATTGAGAATTTTTGATTTGAACACTAACGCTGACTATATATACCCCACGGGGCCCTCGTTGTGAATTGGGGCATATGGCCTTATGTAATTTTATCTATTAGTGGGTAGAACTTGTTGGTGATAGAAGGGTGAAAGGGTTATTCCGGCACTTCACATGGCCATTCGTGTTTGCTATATGTAAACCAGACAACAGTCTATCCTTTACATACCATATAAATAAATAAATAAAATAAATAAATATTTCCAACACTCACACCAATTAGCCTAGCCCCAAAGTATGTCTTATTTATTTATTTATTTTATTCTTCTTTACCAAAATACAGTAAATGGCGGACTTAATGCCATAGGCATTCTCTACCAGTCAACCAGTAAGGGTGTGGGAGACGAATGTTATGGCGATAGAGTGCGAGCTACTAAAGTTATAAAAACATATAATATTATCCTACTTAACTTAACTATACTATAATAAACGATAAATAAATATTATATAATAATCAAATATCATAAATACACATATAAATAGATATATATATATCTATTTATATGTGTATTTATGATATATATCTATTTATATGTGTATTTATGATATTTGATCATAAATACACATATAAATAGATATATATATATCTATTTATATGTGTATTTATGATATTTGATTATTATATAATATTTATTTATCGTTTATTATAGTATAGTTAAGTTAAGTACAGAGTTACAGATGACTGAAGATTACAGAAATATTAGGTCGACAGATAGTGTGCACGTACTAGATTTTTAAACTCCAACTTACTACGAGCACTGCGAATATTCAATGGCAAAGCATTCCAGAGACGTATAGCCGTAATGGTGAAAGATTTGGAGACGAAACCAGAATGGTGAAAATGGGTTTTGAGGGTAAGGTGCCTACAAGAGCGAAGGTCACGCGGTGTAGAGGGTCCCAGAAACTGAAACCTAGATTTCAAGTATTCTGGGGCACGTGGATCGTATAAAATAGTGAAAAGCATGCACACAATTCGGAGATTTCTACGGTCACGTATGGACAGCCACTTGAGTTCGTTTCTATAGTGAGAGATATGGTCGTACTTACGCAAACCGAAGATAAAGCGAATACCGCTATTGAGCAAACGATCCAGTTTTGAAAGAAGGTTTTGATTGATGTCAGAATAGCAGACGTCAGCATAGTCAAGGATAGGAAGTACGAGAGCCTGTACGAGCGTAACCTTTGTACTGGAAGGGAGAAAGAAGTTTAATCTGTACAGAGCCCTAAGTGTGTTTATAATTTTACGGCAAACTTCATTAACTTGATCTTCCCAGCTGAGCGAACAGTCTATGAGTAGACCCAGATCCTTGACACTAGCTCGAAATCCAATTGAAGTACCATTATACAGTAACGGTTTTAGTGAACCTAAATCCAGAAGGGCCAACTGTCGAGAGCTCCCTATTATGATTGCTTGGCATTTTGCTGGATTTACAGAGATACCGTAACAGTTGGACCATTCCGAAATCCGATGGAGGTCATCATTAAGGCATGCCAGGGCCACATCTAAATCATTTTTGTCGGAATGAACATATAGTTGAAGATCGTCTGCATATAGATGGTAAGAGGAATGAATCATAGTTGTGAGAAAGTTGATAAACAACGAAAAAAGAAGAGGAGAAAGAATACCGCCCTGTGGAACACCAGCAATGAGTTCGCACCAGTCCGAAATGGTCTGGTCTACCCGAGCTGCCTGTTGGCGTCCACGAAGATATGATGAAAACCAGGTCCCTACTGAAGAAGAAACTCCCAGATGTGAAAGAATTGCCAGGAGAATATCATAGTTAACCATGTTGAATGCATTTGAGAAATCAATGAGGACCATAACAGTTAACTGCGATTTCTCCATACCGTTGCGAATGTCATCCGGGACATTGATAAGGGCAGTAGTTGTACTATGTCCAGGACGAAACCCAGATTGTAATGGGCTAAGAATTTTGTTGCGAAAGATAAAAGAGGAGAGTTGATTGTGGACAGCAGCTTCTAAAACTTTTGAAAGAAAGGGAAGTATAGATATAGGCCTATAGTGGCTTAGAGAGGAGGGATTATTTATTTTAGGGAGAGGGGTAGTGAGTGTCTTGTGTTATGTGATACTAGGGTAACGGATAGAATACATATACAGTACATATATAAGTATATTTATATAGAAATACATATTAAACATCCATTGACTGGAGAACAAATGCTCGTATTCATCACACAAAACATCTGCCCATCTCCATCGGGATTAGAACCCGGGACCTCTCGAGTAGGCGACACCTTGAAACCCGGCGTACAAACCACTCGGCCACGGAGTCGTCATATAGAATAGGTAAAGACCACCATGCTGTCAAAATGACAAATAGCAAACACGGAAGGCCATGTAAAGTGCCAGAATTATAAGTACTTTTGATGCGAAATCATAAAAAAATACCAATTAATAAAATTGCACAACACTGTGACACGAGACATTAGATAGATTTAATTATAATTGTCTCTTATTTATAAGGTAGGTAATACAAAAACTATGGGCCCATAAAGGGTGTGCCCCACCGTATCTCCCATCCTTCCGGTTTACGGACGGTAATAGTAATTTCCGAACGCACCACCCGTGACAGACATACTCGGGAATAATTACTATGCAGATAATACTGAAAGTTACTGAATTAATGAAAATATCAGATGAATGTCACTTTTTGTTGATTTCTCCTGATTTCAATTGAATCACAATACTGGACAAACCCCCTCATTAATAAACGCAGAATAAGCTTGGATTTGTTACTCGTGTTTTGTCTCTATTAATTGAATTAAAAAAGTCATTTTAGTGACTTTTTCCTCGTTTATTAACAAGGGGGATGATCTAATCATGTTCTAACGAAAGTCTTTTTTTCGTACAGGCAACACACTACCGCTCACGTGACGAACAACTACGCGCGTAACGAACAGACCACTCTGCAATGGGCCAAGACCTCTATGAACGAACTACGTCTCGAGATGAGGGAGCTCAGCGAGAGTGTCAACAACTCCGCGCTCTTGCGACAACTTCACGTCATTCGGAATGAGGTGAGTTAGAGCGAACATAAACGGAATGCTCGAGCAGTTAGCCAGTGATCAACATATACGGAGTCAACCGCTTAAAGCTGCCATTTCGCTGAGTTACCAGCCGCCCGAAGCAGTCGCAACTGCTCGACCGGTTTCGTGTGTGTGTGTACGTAGACGACTGAAGTTCACTATCCATCCGCAGCTTTAAGCAATCCATCGCGGCTGCTTCAAGCTATCCGTGTATGGCCACTCTTACTTGCAAATTTTCGCATGAATATCAGGTTTTAAATATCCGGCATAAACCACGAAGCGAGGAGAATTATTTTCTACTATAAAGTTACTATCTGTTTACAAATTTTACTTTGTTATGATCTATCTCATGTTCTGTACCTATGATTCCTTGTCTTCTTCTTCTTCTCTTCTTTTTCAGCCCTTCTCCATCCAATGCCTAAACCTCCTACACCGCATGCCATCTACGTCGGTCTTGTGCTGTTCTCTTCCAGTGATTTCCCGCAATCTTCATGAGATCGTCTGTCTCCACCCCAGCACAATTTTTCCCATTTTCCCAAGGGGGGGGGGGGGGGGTCACAGGGGACATGATGGGGAAAATCTAAGGTCAAATTGAAAAAACTCAAAAATTTGCCAAATAATAAAAGGAAATTTCTAGCAATCTCCTAACAGCGATAAATTTATAGTTTACTGACATCTAGTGGTGTTTTTATGAACTACGTACGATGGCCAAAATAACTTGGAAATGACATCTAGTACTAGTTTAGAAACAAGGAACCGAACTACGTAGTATTGTTAATACTAGCAAAATCGATATGCGTTGGCGTCGTTATTAACAGATTTAGCTCTTCTAAACATTCACCCGGAAATAGTACCAGACATCTCAAATATTATCACCCGATTCGCAAACACAAAAAGACGATTTTGTTTTATAAGTAATGTATTAAATAAAATTGTGTCTTGTGCAATAATGTTCATTTTATTCCAGATTCCTAATTTTAGGATCACTTTGTTGTCCGTCCGTCCGTCTGTCAAGACCGTTTTTCTCAGGAACGCGTGGAGATACCAAACTGTAATTCATATCTAATACTCAGGTCTACTGTCCTTTAGAGCTGTGAAAAAATCAAACTTCTAAGCCAAAGCAATCAAAAGATACAGCCGTTTATGCCGCAAATTTCCGCTCCGCACATATTTTAATTTTAAACTCACACGGGAATCAAAACCTGCAAGATACTTCCCGTGAACTTATAATAATTGAAATTTGGTACGAAGTAACGTCTTATAGTACAGATAAAGGAAAAATTGCGAAAACCGTAAATTTTTAGTTACATCATATGTACAAACTGTACATTTTTTGATGAGATTTAGTTAGTTGGAGTGCAGGAGAAAAAGATCAGAGAGAGATATATGCCGAGATATATTGTAAACAAAGTCACAGTTCAGGTGTAGGCTATTCTTGTCTCTAATGTGTATTAATTAGTTCGCGTTTATAATTGCACTATCTTTAAATAAAGAAATAATCAATTTATACTTACGATAATATGACACTCTAGGTAAACGCGGGTCATTGATGTGGCCTGAGTGACGTTCGCGGTGTTAGCAAATTTTTATGTACAAGTAAACTGTACATCATATAATAAAAAATATTTATGAAAATTAAGGTGTGTACGGAACCCTCGGTGCGCGAGTTCGACTCGCACTTGGCCGGTTTTTTTTTTATTAGTGTAGTGAGTGACCCCCTCCAAAATTACAGGCTGCGACCGCGCCTGCGATCGACCATAGTTTCTGCAATCTATGTGACCAGCCCATCTCCATTTCCTTTTAGTTACGGATATGCCTAATTCAGTCTGTTTTGTGAGGATGATGTTTTGTGATTCATTACATTAGACCTATTATTACAGTTGAAACAAGCTCTAATGGAGACTACAGACTTGGCGCAGCTGGCACGCACTCAAGAGACCAGGGTCGACAAGTTGGACAACGAGGTCGGCAGACTGAAGCATGACGGGCAGCAGATGAGGGGCATGATCGCAGAGCTCAGGGTGCACTTCGGCAAGATGAATAAGGAAGTGAGTATTTTTTTTAAAATATAATATGGTAACCATTTCGCAATTTATTGTGAGTTAAACAGAAACCAGGAAGGTTCATTCGTATCCTAACTAAGGTAATCAGTGAACATTACATCACAAAGCTAGCTTATTGTTGTAACTAGAGGTAACTTTAATATTATAAAACATGCCGGTAAGCATTAAATAATATTTAGGATCAGACTCGCAGTAGCCCAGTAAGTTGGTTGTGCTAAGTCAATTAGTATATAACATCATGCTGCTATTCTCTAGCAGCTCTATGGTGCTGTCCGACGACCTGTGTTTCGCAGACGCGGCCGCGCCGCTTCAGGTTGCCAAACGTATGAGAACTCTAACGTTTGAGATTTAGCAGTCTCTATACATGACGAGATAAATAGAAATCTCGTACACTTTGATATGAGGTTTGAACAGTGTTCATTGTTTGTGTCATGTACACAAACCAAAATTCAGAAAGTATATAAATGTCCAGTCCACAAAGTATCGATCGTAAGTACAGCTTCATTATGCTATCACAAAGTATACGAGATTTTTATTTACCTCGTATCATGTATATAGAGACTGCTAAATCTGAGTCTCAAATCTTAGAGTTCTCATACGTTTGGCAACCCTGCGCGGCGCGGCAGTGTCGGACAGCACCTTTCTGCTAATAACAGCTGAAGTACCTAAAAGAAATGCTTAAATTTCATTCCAATTCGGAATTCAGCCAATGTTGATAGACCACCGGAACAAACGATTAAATAAGCCCTTTGTTAGGTGTGTTTATAGGAGCGTCCAGATTATTTTATAAGATTTTAGTTATATAACACGTCCACATCTCACTTTGTTTTAAGACACTTATATAACATGCTATATAATAATATATATTTTGTTACATATTCTGCGAGCCACCTGAACGCAACTTGCTTATATAACTACTACAAAACCCGATAGATTATTTAAAAATGCTTTGTAAGTACGTAGGTGTAAACAAAGGCAAGCTAAATCCGTAGTCTCTTATTCTAATTAAGCTTAGGTACATCTTTAACGGACTAAGTACAACGCAATGTTACATTATTCTGTGTTATTTTGTATTATTTTGTCACCTCTTTTACGTTTGAGAACTCTTTGTTCTGTGTGAATAAAAGTAGTTTTTTTTTTTTTCATTTTAAAAGCTTTCTATGAAATTATTTGTTACTGTATAACAGGTAATATTTTACACTCAGTACCTACTCTATGAAATTGGTGCATATCGTGTGCATTAGTACACTATAGATATGGTGTATATGTCGTGGCCATATCGTAGATTTGCTCATTTCATGAAATGGTCGCATTTCATGATGTGGCCAACTTAATTTAAGCAGATCATTAAATCGTCAACGTTTAACGATTTTGTCATCCAATACTAATGAACAAAGGCTATAGAGTTTTTCTAAAAAAGTTAGGGTTCCGTAAAAACTTCGATAATGTAACCCAACGTGTGAAAAAAATACCAAAAAACAACCTTAAATCGCGTACGCTGCCGAAGTCATTGACAATAGAACAAAGTGATGTACTGAAGTTTTATATAAGACTTCAATATTTACAAAAAAGTCTGCGATGCCATATGTCTAACTATTACAGTTATGTTTAAGCATTGTTGGTGTAGGTAATAAGTCGCTTAGTAGGGCAAGTGACCCGGTTGTGGCCACCGACCCCTTTGTGGCCATTTAGAACTTCAAATCCTTATAACTAAGGCAAAGAAAAATATATTACTCTATGGTTTACGGGAATAAAAATATCTAATATTGGCAACACTGATAGCGTTGACAGCTTTGATGTGTCAAACTTCACTTCAATCCAACAAGGCATTATTTTTTGATGAGCGACAATTGTTTTATTTCTTAGCAAAATGGCTAAGGCGAGCGGGTGAGTAAACAATCATTATTTTTTAAATCCTTCTTATTTTTTTTTAATGTTTATGTTAATCCTTCATAAAGAATACACTGCCTAAGCGGTACTAATGATATTTTATCGCTATTTGTTTATTAAGTGAGGTTATGAGAGATGGCCACTAATGGCAGCAAAATGAATGAATTTTCCCCATCTTTGGCCACATGACTGGCCAAAAGTGGTGCACGTAGAACCCCACTTTTGGCCATTTAGTTTTTATCGTGATTTCTCAACTTAATTACTTAGCTATTTTGATATTATTAATCAATTAATTTTCAGAGTTACGATTATAATGTCTCCATCGAAACCAAATACTAAAAAAATCGGTGTCGTGAAAAGAAAATTGTTCCAGTACTCACCGCATAAAATAACATTAGCGTTGAACGCAATAAAGAATGGAATGCCCGTTGCCACTGCTAGTAGAGATTTTAACGTACCTCGAACGACTTTGCATCACAAATTTTCTGGAAAAGCGCCTGAAACTTCTGGACATGTAGGGCCCCAGGTCAGGTCTTGGAAGACAAAAAGAAAACGAACTAGTCATATGGATCAAAGATTGCGCTCGCGCTGGATTTCCCATCAACAAGGAAGGTTTACTGGATTCTGTTAAGAAAATTGTTGTGAAGGGCCAAATTGCTACTCCTTTTATAAATGATAGACCTGCAAGATCCTGGTTCGATGGATTTATGGCGAGACATCCTGATTTGAACCAGAAACATGCCGAGTATATTAATAAAGCTCGTGCCTTAATAACTGAAGAGAAAATTCGGAACTGGTTCCAAGAAATTTCTTCATTGCTCGGTGATGAAAATTTAAAGATTCTATAAAACTGTGTTAGCTGAAAAGTGACAACATGTTTACGATACATCAAAAAACAGCGATAAAGAAAATATAACTACCCTATTTACTGTCAATGCCGCTGGTGAATATGCACCTCTAACTATTTACAAATATAACCTAGTGATAATAAGAAAACTTATCAAGACTGGTCATTATAATATTATAGATATTTACCTCGTTTAGGTTAATGTTGATCACCATAATTGTAATTTTTATTCAAGCTGAGATATTATATTTCATATTTGTAGTCAATATTATGTTAGCTAATATTCTCTAAATAAAGACTGTTGGCCGTAAATTATGCGATTTTCGAATAAACTTTTTATTACTTTGAATTCTCTGCTTTTTATTTTTGTTTCTTAGGTTTTCACGCACATCACTCATTAAATAAAACTAGTTTTTACGGGTTAATGCACGAAACTTTATTTATTTATTCACGTTTCGCAGCCTTTTCAGGTCTGCATCGCCAGAATAATGATTTTTTATTTAAAATTGTCGAGCTACCTTCGAAAGACTTATATTGAGCGTTCGGTTATTTCATTGGAAGATTTTTAAAATTTTATTGTCTATGTATGAATTTATTATTTAATGTTTGTAATTTTGAGTTTATTTATTTATTTGACCCTAACTACCGTAAACTACCACCGGTTCCAAAATTGGGAGACCTTCCTGAGAAGAACCGGCGAAACAAACTCAAGAGAGGCTTTCTATCTTATTGATCTCTTATCTATCTTATTGAGGCATTTGAAAACCTCAGGCGGCTAGAAATAACAAAATAAAATCGTAAGCGTTAGCGTTTTCCAAAGCATTTCCGTTAGACGAATGGCTCCCTGTTATAGTTCTTATAGCTATGCTAGTATTTAGCACTTTTTTGTTCGGTTGAATAGAAAAGTTCCTCCAGTGTCCCGGAAATTCCCGGATGAGATATGAGACGGGACGTAGCGAAAATGATGCATGCATTCCTTCTTTACTCCGTATAAGAGACAAGTGTATAAGCCCATGCACTTGTCTAATTTAACAAGGTAAATACGAGACCAATACAAATCACCTATCAAATATCATAGCTTTTGTACAGTCAAGATTTATAGATTACATACCATACCAAATTATATACTTACAACAAAAGTTCGAGTCTGTGACACTTCTATAGGTACTTCTGGTAGGTATTTAGTTTTTTACACATTCCTTTTTTAATTATTATTTAATAACTAGCTGAGCCAGCGAACTTCGTATCGCCATAAAAATATAGGTGATAGAAGGATGAAAATTAAGGGCTGTATGTATTTTTGTATGATGTATCACAAAAAAATAAAAACTTAATGGAGGACCTCCCTTAACATTTAGGGGGATGAAAAATAGATGTTGTCCGATTCTTAGACCTACTGAATATGCATATAAAATTCACGAATATCGGTCGAGCCGTTTCGGTGGATTTCAATTACGCACACAGTGACAAGAGAATTTTATATATTACATTTATACGAAAGTTCCGCTTGTCCGGTATTAAATTAACCTGTGCAATATCGAAATAAATGGTTTTTCTTCATTTTCAAATTAGTTGCAAGACATTTAACGCTAATCGAGAATAAAATGCGTCTTGTGATTCACCCAACCCTGCCTTTCATTATAAAATGTACCGGGATGTATAAAGTGCTTGATAACAAACGTCGTGTAGAAAGTATTTCACTGCAAAATGATCGAGAGAATAAAAGCTTTTTATTTAATTTTTGCTTCACATGTTGTGTTTCACAGTGCATTTGTTTATATTGTAATTGTCTCATAACCTTCCTCCTGCATGTGTGAGTGGTCAACAGGTGGGGTTATTTTCACGGTCGGTGGCGATAACCGTTGCCGCTGCCGACCGTTGCGCCTGCGACTTTTTACTGGTCTATATGCTTTTGTTATTTGAATATGACTAGGATTCATGGTTGGTTAACGTCGACCGGTGCAGTAACGTTTCACCATTAAGATTGTATGAACTAATGAAATTTTCTTTTGGTCTGTGCTTGTTCACATTATTTTTTTATGGGAATGAAATTCATTCACATCATTTAGGGAGTAACATATTCTTCAATTGTTCTATGTGCAACTAATTTTCTTTCACTTCATAATTTGAAATATTATAGGGTAAGACTTTAAAAATTATAAGTAGGTATTAAAGGAAAATACAAAATTAATTCAACAAAGATTTATAGTTTAAGTGGAAACTAAAAATATTCGTTGTATACTTCGTT